TATTTTCAATTAGCAGCTGATCTCAAAAATTGCCTACATTCTGTTCTTAAAAATTACCTACATTCTGTTCTTAACTGGGGCAAGGAATACCTTTTTAATTTTAACACCTCCAAAAAACAACTGCTCTCTATTAATCATCTTAGAGAACCCTTTCTGCTTTCCATCAGCATGGCTGATGCTAACCTACAGGAAAGTGACTCATTGTGCCTTCTAGGGCTAACATTTTCCACTGATATGAAGTGGCAAGATTATATTGAATCAACTGCTAGGTCTGCTGCTAGGAAGCTTGGTTTACTGTGTTATGCTAGATAATTTTTCTTGTCAGAATCTATCTTATATATCTACAAATCTACCATTCATCCATGCTTAGAATACTGTTAGCACATATGGTCTGGTGTTCCTGCTATATATTTAGAGATCCTTGATAAATCCAAAGAAGAATCTGCAATGTTATTGTTCCTGACATGACAACTCAACTTCAATCACTTTCCCACTGCTGTAATGTAGCTTCCCTGTGGCTTTTCTGTAAATAATTTCATGGTAAATATTCTGATGAACTCTGCTGTATGGTACCTAGACTCTATAAATTTAACTGTATTACTAGATTGGGGGCAAGGTCTCCTGATTTTACAGTTAAAATGGCTAGATGTAACCGTAAGTTCTATGTTAACAGTTTCTTCTTACTTGTAAAACTCTTGATAAAAATATTTACTGGTTAAAGACTTGATTTTATGCTTTGAAAAGCCCAATGATGATTCAATTTTAACTTTCGTATCCACTTGCATTCTACAATTTTGCTAAGCTTAGCTTAGTCTATGTTACGATCAAATGCACTAAAACAATGATCTGCAAGAATAGCTTGTTATCCATTACTCCACAGGTGGTGCTCTCCATTTTTATGCAGAATATAGCATTGACGAAATATATCTATTTTATAAAGTTCAAAGTTTTCATAAATGCTTAATGATTAATGAAATTCATTGGCATTTTTAATTACTTTTATTAGCAAATTCATTAAACAGTAATTAACTTTTTATCATAGAAATTATTCATAAAAATTAGTAGTCTCAGTTAATTTCATATTTTAGAGTGTGAAATATATTCACCAGTTCAAAAATAAAAGCTTTGAAATTGGAGTTTATTGAAAATGTGGGTGTTGTATTTAATAAATGAAACTTTTTCATTATGAATAATAATTTGTTGTGTGTGTGAAAAAGGAGATTTTGTAAAAAAGGAAAAAAGTGTTAATGAAGATCTTGACTGTTTTTTTTAAAGGAATCTGTTTGTGTAAATATTGCAGGTAGAGTATTAGAATGATTACCTGAGGTGTACATTTGAATTTTAACATATTTATAATTCTGGTAAACTATAGCATACAGAAGAGCACAATTCTTTATTTGCTTCTTTTGCATAGGATAGTGCCAACTTTGCAGTTGGAAAAGATCACTTTGATATGTCTAAGAATGAGAATGTATGTAAAAAAAAAAAAGAAAAGAAAAAAAATAGGTTGTACAGTTGCTGATGAAACATCTCTTTGTAAGTTATCTGCTATTATTTATAGGTTTGCTTTTACAGAGATGCAGAGAATTTATCGTGTAGTCATTTAGTTAGTATGTGCAAATTATTAGCTTTCTAATCTCTTCAGCCTAACTCAAATTTATCTTTATATTTAATCATCCCGAACCACTTTCCAATTTTATATTTGATATACCTTTTTGTGCACAGAAATAAAACAAATGTTGATACTACAGCTTCCTGTCCTCTTGTATCTGTATTCTTCACTTTTATACTAATATCACTTTACTACTTTTTGTATTTTTACAGTTACTTCATTTAATATTATTTTATTTGATAACCAGGTTTCTTCCAAAGACATAAATATTGATAATAAATTCACCTTTCACAAACAAAGATATCTCTCCATATTAAAGGACCAGTTTTTATTAACAAAATATTCTTTTATATCAACGATTATTAGGAAATCTTTATGAAAATCTTTTCTATTATGTTTTAATAGGTTTAGTTTCATTGACTGTTTTATATTTTAAGCATTGATTCACCTCTTAAAACAGACTATCGAGAAAATAAATAAAAACTTTATTTGAATGTTGATATTTAATTGTTTAATACAAATTGAAACAACTGTATGCAGTATTTTACTATTTAAGGAGTTAGTATTTATATCATTCAGACTTCACAGATTCAAAATAGATTTAAAAACAAAATGAATTTTTGATTTGGTTCTTAAATATTTCTTTATATGAAGTAGGATTGTAAAAATTTCTATTTCTTTAATACTGCATTGAGTTGTTGACTATATTGAATGAAAAATTATTTTTCATCATCTCTTCTTTCCTTAGTTTTTCTCATTAAATTTTAATTAATGAACTTGCAAAAACAAAGAATTAAAAATCTAACATCTGAGTACAACTGTTATTAGAATAGAAATATAAAATTACATAAATTTGAATTATTGATGGATAATAATTCAGTAAATTTCATTCAGTTTATAAAGAGACAGTAAATTAAAGATTATTTGCAATTGATTGGGAGTCTAATTATAAGAAAATATGCAACCTTCAATTTTCAATGAAAATTGCTTTAACAAGGACAAAGTTATCAAAAGAAATATTCAAAATCAAGAAAAAAAATAAGAAAATGTTGAATTGACATTATAAAATGTTTTAAATATTCCTTATTAATTCATTTTGCATAATGTAAGTGTTATAATTAAACAAAAATGTGTTTTTCTTCTTTCAAGAGCACTCTCATTTTCAATTCAAAGTGTTCTTATGTATTGAAATCTTGTCATAATCCTGTCTAAACATCTATTTTGACAACCCTTTAAACTTTCCAATAGCTCTATTGAATATATTGGAAGGAATCAAGAGATCTGTCAGCCATATTTTTGAGCTGTAGGTATTTTTGAATGATAAAAAACATTTAGAAAACACACACAAAATATTTGTTTTATTTTTCAAAAAATTAAAAAGTTTTTCTAAATATTTATTTTTGCATCCAGTTTTTAATGCATATGTGAAAATCTTTAATGTTGAAAAGTTGTACCATTTGCTAAATTGTGCTCTGCAAGTGACTTTAATCACTTTCTTAATTTCATAAAATAGAATTCATTTCTTTACTAATAAAGTTTCTAAAGAAGAGAATGCTTGAAAGTTGTTTCCCACATCGAATTATTGTTATATAAGCTAAATTACTGAGAATATATAATTAATGAGAGAAACCATTCTATCAATTTTAACATCCATATCATTGTTACACTTTTCTTCACTTAGTTAAGAAAATATAAAGAAAAGAGACAGATAAAGAAAGAGATAAATAAATATATGGAATTTATGGTAATATTCATGAATTCACAACAAATTTATTCCCAAGTATGGAAGTTGTTGGATAGAAGGGAACAATATTTTAGGAGCATCAGGAGTGACCATATTTATGAATTGGGGGATCAAGAATCATGCCAGAAGCAATTTTGAAGTAAGGAAATAAATAAAGAAACTTTGAAATTAAAATCATAACCCCAAAAAACTAATGAACTTCATGAGGATACTGAAAGAAGTTCTTAACTATTTGCCAGAGTAAATTCCATTCCTTGGTTCTGTTTCAAATTTGTTCCTGACATCAAGATGTAAAGAAACTTCATTCAACTTTTGACACATTTCTCACCTATTCTAGTTTCCACCTTGGCAAACTAGACCAGCATGAAGTAAAAGAAAACCACTTTTGTATCAGGCAGAATAAAAACTAGTTAAATTCTTTTTCTTTCTTTCATACCTCTTCACTAATTGTTGATCACCCAAAAGTGATTGAGCAGAAGAGTTCAATCAAATAAAATCTTTTTTCATGACATCTGAGATTTTTCCCTATTTGGCCAGATGATTAAGAATTGAAGAAAAAAAAAACACTCCACAACTTAGAAAGTTATGAGCAGTTTTTCTGCCTACCCACTTTTACTAATTTTCCACCCCATACAAATCCCAAGAACCACTCAAGTAGTGTTACTAATTATGGTTGTTGCTTGCATGTAAGAGGAGATTAGAAGTACAATTTATAAAGTTATGCAAGAAAGATAATGATTAATCTTGAAGAGGTTAAGATTGTAGTGATTGGTAAAACATCTGCTTTGGAATCTGATCCACAAAGTAGCTGTTCTTGGGAAAAAGCAATTCTGAATGGAACTTCTTTCTTGCTAATTGAATACGAAGGGAATGGGTATTCATCCCAGTGTATGTGGCATGGCAGGTCAAAACTGGTGGAACTAATGAATGTAGTTCATCAGAACATTTATCAAGGAAATAGCAATAATGTAGCGAGGGGATGGTGACATTTCATTTGTGGCAAAATAGTTATAGAGTGGAAAATAATTAACTACCTATAAGGATACATAAATGCTTTTGAACTCTGTCAATATTGGAAAGTTTCAGCCCATATATGGCAACAGTATTTCATTTTTGGTCTCATTTGGCTCTTGTAACATTATTGCATAGCAGGTGGAATCCAGTACTTACTGAAGCAGTACAATGAACTGACCATTTTTTTTAGCATCTTTAGTGATGATCATATAGATGAATTTCACTTGAGGTCTGGCGTGAACTTGAGCCCCAACAGATTTGCTTGGTGATGTTGGAAGTATTGAATTTTAAGCCAGTTTTTATACCTAGTGAGCTGTTAGAGCCAGGTCAGAGGAGAAATCAGCTGCCAGGCTTTGCTCATCTATACACTCTTATATTATCTGCATAGATATTCATTAAAGATCTATGTTCTTAAATGAAAGAGAGAGAATTTACAATAGAAGAATGGATGACAGAGGAAATGGGGGAAATCACTTTTGTCAATGAACCTGATAAATGACTTAAGATCATTTGGAAGATTCTTCATTTCAAAGTGATTTTCATTAACAATAGAAATGCTATACTGTATTTAAAACCTCTGAAAACAGTTAAAAGCAGAATTTAATAATTGCCTGTTTTCTTTCCTTTCAGATTGAGTCCTTGGTGAAGGGCTTCAAACTTCCATCTGCTACTTATCGGCAGGTGATGATGCTGTGGAGAGAGGAGATGAAGAATGGGCTGAAGAAAAGAACTAACCCCACAGCCGACATTAAAATGTTCCCTTCCTTTGTTAGATCTTTACCTGATGGAACTGGTGAGAGATTAAAAAAGAATACACATTTGTTTCTATCTCATATTTTGAACATAGCATTTAACAAAAAATCATTTTTAAAGACTTTATTAGTACAACTTTTAAATATTTTTGAGAGCATAAGAAATTATGAGATCATAGAAAAATGAATATTTGATTAGTGTTTTGATTGCTTTTACATTTTAAATCTGCTTTTAAAACTTCAGTAAGATTAACAGTTTCTTTTATGTTTATGACAGTTTTCTTTTTTCCCCAATTTCAAAGTGACAGCCATCCTTTTTTTTATCCTTCTATTATGTGTACTCTGTATAAAGTTGAATAATATCAAAGAGATTATCCAGTTTCATTATTTAAAAGAAAAAAATAGTCAAAATCACTCCCTTATCCATGGGGTACACATTCCACTCCTAATGGAAGCCTTAAACCACAGATCAGGGATTGGAGAAACTACATTTGTTATCATCAAATTTCTATTATAAGCATTATGTTTGTGCATTGTCAAAGAATTGGGTTCATGTCTTCGATTCTATTAGCTATTTTTTATGGAATCCTAGTTTAAAGACAGTTCCTGACTTCTGAACTAATGTATACACTCAAGCTGCCGCCTTAAAAACTCGGGCAAAATAATGATTTATTGAAGTCAAGATCAAATTTCTCTCCAAGTATTTTCCTTTTTAATTGTTTATCATTACAACCACAAGGCTTTACCAGTCACAAACATTTCTGCTTAGAAGAATATTCTGTTTCATCACAGCTGACCCTCTTCATATTAAATCTGATTTATTAATTTTTAAATTTCAGTTTATAAATAATTTATCTAATTGTGTTTTAAATTAATCTATAATTTGATGTTGATCAATTTCAGAATATTTAAATTCTAATGCTAATTGTTGGGATATATATTTTGTTTCTTATGATCATTTGCAGAACATGGTAAATTCTTAGCTCTTGACCTCGGTGGAACTAATTTCCGTGTATTACTTGTTGAACTTGATGGTCCCTTGGTTGACATTGAAAGCAAAACTTACCTTATCCCACAACAAGTAATGCTTGGCACTGGTGAACAGGTAAAACAACTCTGCATTATTTTCATTTGGAAAGGACATTTTATCTTTTACAAATCTGCTTCTTGATTTTTCAATACATATATATGATGATACATCTAAGAATGATGATTATTATTTAACCTTGTGAAACATTGTACTGACAAGCTTCAGAATAATTAAGAGATTTCATTTCAACACTTCAGATAACATTTCTTTTAATTCATAAAACATTTTACAACCATTTTGAAAAGATTGTGTTTGTCTGGAAAATAAGCCATGCCATGAATTTTATTTTGATCTTTAAGTTCAGTATAATGTTTACTTTTATTTGAAAGCTGTTCTGGTTTATTTTTTCTGATTCTAATAAATTTCTTTATTATGCACACGCACACAGTAGATAGCTGCCAGAAGTCTTAGTTTTTACAAGTTCACCCACAACAAAATTCCACAAAAATGTCAATATATGTCTAGGATTATAGCTCATACTGATCTATGTTACTTTGCAGTATTTGATGAATCAGATAATCCTTCCAACTTCCTATCAGTAACATAATCTCTTGATGTTACATCTATGTCATTCTGTGAATTAAGTTATTACTTTTCATTAATAAATTGGCATAATTCAATCTCCTCATTAAGGTCAAACCTGTTTATGAGGAAAATTCAACTGAAATAACATGCCATGCATTTGTTGTGAGAAATCTAAACCAGCTTCTCGATAAAGATTAAACATGAAGAATGTCAAAATGCTTTAATAGGATGTTAAATATTAAAATCAAATGTGGTAAAACATTTTTGGAAGAAAAGAGTAAATCATCCTCTTTGTTAAAATAAGACATGTAAACAGACTGTAATGTGTCTCAAGTGAGGAAAGTAGCTAATTTTAATTGATCAAAGGGGAAATGCATGACTAATCCAAGTGTGGAATTAAATATTACTATCTAAAAAAATAATTCTACAGGTGGGATTTTAATTCTTACAGAAGACCGAAATGGAAAATAGATTTTAGTTATGTATTTATTGAATCATACTTAATTTGAAAATCATTATCATAAACTCTTGCTTTATGCTTAATTTAAATAATGTGGATGGGTATTTCACAAAGATTTCAAGTATGGTTCAAGAAAATGATAAAAATTCAGTTTATCTAACCTATTCTTTTTCCATTTTGGTAGACAAGAATCAGAATTGATGATATTTTATGATCACTGGATACAATTAAGAGCTGAGGAACATATTTACTGAAGTATTGAGATAAGAATAATAAAGATGAGGTTACTAGCCTGAATAACTAGGAAAACTCTAATAGATTGTTCACTAAAACTTTCTGAAGGTAGAAATGGAAAAATTGCTATGTATTATATTTAACCAGAGAAGCTGCATATAGAACTTTTTTTTCTCGTTTTTGGTTGGTATCATTCATGCCAAAGGCAAGCTATATTATAAATGAATTGTGCTTAGTTTCTGGTGATATGTTTTCTAGGCAGCCCTTCTCTCATTGACAATTAGGTAGGGTCAGAAGCACTTCTTGACAGCTGTAGCAATATGCTAACTGAACTGGGCTATTTTTAAATCTGCCCCCACACAAGTTCTTGCATTAAAAAAGATTTTATGCAATATCCCATCTCTGTGGAGGAAAATGGATAAATAACCTAATTTTTTGGGCTATGGTTGGTGTTGCATATACTGTTATTTGTTTCATTAAAATAATAAATCTTTAAATAGGAATTGAAGACTACATGTCTGAAAGACAAATCAAAGGATTTCTAATGTACCAACAAGTCTGCAGGCAAAATGCAAATAAAAATGGTACAATATTTGATAATTTTGATGTTAAAGATGCACAGTTAAAAGAAATTAATTTTTGCATAAAAAAACAAAAGATGCGATTTAAACTGGAAAAGGATTTCTATCTTCATAAAATTATTGGAAGTGTTTTGTTGATTTAATCTTATTTTTTTGTAAGATTTTTTTGAGTTAGTTTTAAAAATTTTCTAAGATAATTTATAATTATATATATAAATTTATATTAAAAATACAACTATATACTAATGAATGCATTCTTTCAAACATTTGGATGAATATTTTCATCTATTTTGATTTTGTTTTCATTAATAGGTTCTCCTTTAATTATGTACATGTATCTGGTGGTTTTTCTTCATTGCTTAATTGGTTTTTATCTTCTGCATTAGAACATCACAACTGAGTGGTCAAGGATTCCAGTTTGCTTTGAGGAAAAACTGGAGAACTTCATCTAATTTCAGTGTTAGCTTTACATTGACAGCCTGATATGGGAGGCATTAAAACTGTTAATCTGTCCTTATCAAGGATATAAAAAAAAGTTTTCATCTCCTTTATTTTATTTGTTTTCATTAATATATATATGCTTATATATATATATATATATTTTTTTTTTCTTTTTTAGCTCTTTGATCATGTTGCTCACTGTGTTGCCAACTTTATTTCTAAACATGGACTTGAGAGAGAGCCTACATTGAACCTTGGATTCACTTTCTCCTTCCCATTAATGCAAGATGGTCTTGCATCAGCTCGACTCTCCAAGTGGACTAAAGGCTTCCGTTGTGAAGGTGTCATTGGAAAAGATGTTTGCCTTTTACTTAAGCAAGCTCTTCAAAAATGCACGGTAAGAAAACAAGCAAATCTGAAGGAATTTTTCATATTTTACAATAAAAATTTAGATTCATATTATAAATATCAATAAATCATTCTTAACATTCTACTGTGAAGATAATGTATTTATATTTACTCATATATGGCCTATGTGAGTATTTATATGTACATATTTATTTATTTATATAGTAATGCACAGTTATTATTAGTAATATATATATATATATATATATATATATATATATATATATATATATATCCAATATTCCATGTGTTAATGTAAGACATTTTGTATCAAATGATAAAATTGGGGAATGTCAAAGGAGTTTTTTTTTTTTTTTTTTTTTTTTCTTTTCTCTTATTGGCCAAATTTGGCTAAAATTCACAATGTTAAATTGCTGCTCCTGAACAGCTAGACCATGTATAATTGGTACAACTATTTGATGTGTACAGCTGGTGCAATTATTCCATATGTACCAGCAATGCAGATAGGCAGCAATCTATAGCCCAAAAATATTTTTGTGACAAAATTCTGCATTTTAACCTTCTAAAGTAGCTAGATATTTAAGTTTATTGGTTTCTAAAAAATGACTGACAATAAGTAAAACTACAATAAAATTAAACTGTTAAATTTACTTTGAATAAATTTGCTATGATACTTTTTTCTAAGAGACTGATTTTGCTGCATTTTATATGAAAAAATAAACACCATATCTATAGAAATGTAAATATTGTAGTTTTATGGTATTTACAATGTACAAACTTGTACACTCTATAAATCTTCTACATGCAAATGCAACCCATTTCTTTAATCAAGAAAAATTAAATTTTGTGTAAGTCATGTAATGAAGAGCAAATATTTTGAACATAAAATAGGCAAAATAATATAATCTTTTGACAATTTTTCTTACAGCATGTTGACATAAATGTTGTTGCTGTGATCAATGACGCTGTAGGCACCCTAATGTCTGCTGCTCATAGTGACAGGAATTGTGAAATTGGTTTGATTCTTGGTGAGTTGAATTTCAATTTCTTCCCTTATCAACACAGAAATATTTCCATATCAACTTGTAAATGGCAAAAAATGACTGTAAATCCTATAAGTCATCATCATAAACTCTAAAGATTTACATGAAATGAAATAGCATTTAACCTATAAACTGATGTTTTAAATATATTCATCAATTAATTTACAAAAACTAGCTGAATCTGCATGTGGTTTTACTTATGTTATACATGTCCTGCAAATAATGCCATCAACATAGTCAAAACTTAATTTAAATTTATAAAGTTGTAAATACCATGATGTCAATTTCTGGTGGATTTTAAAAACCAAAGCACACTTTTTCAATGACAATTGATGGTTGAAAGCATCAGAATGTGAGTGTAGGGACAATTTTTTCACACACAAATTAACGTTCTTTTGGAAAATTGGTAAAATAAACTTGTTTGTGGTCTTTCATAAAACTTGATAAAATGAAACCTTTTTGCAAAATTATACCCTCTATATAATTGTTTAAAATTGTTATTTTTATGGAAGAGGAGTACTCCATATCAGGGATAGTGTTTGTCTTGACATAGAAATCAACAGTGGTGACTGATTTTCATACTTTAAGTGATCATTAGACCAAGTGTTACTACTCTTTATATGGGCTCTATATATGAGTCCCTGAGGACATGGAAAGTCTGGTAGAGGAAAACATGTTTGTGTGTGTGTGTGGGGGGGGCTAATGTTTTGTATAATTTAATGTTTTGACCTCAATTTTGTTTATTTTTATTTTATTGTGTTTGTTTTTTATTTTATTGTATACTTTCTTCTGTTCTAAATTTTGCTAAATGGAATAAAGTTTATTAGACTTATTATTAATTATTGCAAGTTTACTATCACCATTTGGTGTTGAACTTTATATCCCACAATGCTTATATGTACATATGCTCTATTTCAGATACTGAACCTTTTACCCTATAAATATAGCATACTTGATAACTGTATTTTATCATATTTATCTCATTTATAAGGCATGCTATATTTATAGGAGAAAATTGCTCAATATCAAGGACAAAGCATTTTAAATATAAGCAGTGTGGATGTAGGGACCAATACTGGATACCAATGTCTACAATACTTATGTATAAGGGCTACACTATGAGAAACGGGTTAAAATTACCACATACTAGTTTTCTACATGCAGAATACTTGCCTTTCTTGAAAATCACTATTCAATTTCTTTTCACTTGGCCTTAAACATTAATAATGACTCCCACTGGCAAGGAGACAAATAATTACTTCAACCACCATGCAGTTATTTGATCCAAACATTTTGTGCTTCTGTCAGGTTAAAATTTGTACATGAGGCAATTGACAGTTTTATTCTTCCCATCAAAAAGTTTGTAAATGCAGATTTCTATATACCTTATATTAAGATTAGGATTTGTGCTAATGTTATTTAGTGTATCTTGTAATTATGTCCTGTCCATAGGGTACCAGAATTGACCAATATATTCCATAAAGAATTAAATCTTTGCTGGACCATACTGCCTCACTTGAAATACTGTCTTTGGATATACATTAATACTTTAATGATGTCTTTTACTTGTTATTTTCTTAGAGATTTCTCGATTGTATTGTTAAAATAAATGATTAAAAATCAAAAATCTGCTGCAGTTCTCATTTAATTATGATGATAATAATAGTAATAATAATAATTCTGATTTTAAAAAATTAGTACTGATTAGCTATTAAAAAAAATCTATCAATAATTGAACAAAATAAATGAAAAAGGGGCAATAAATAAAGAAGCAGAGAAAGAGACAACAAGATAGAAAATGTTGCATATGTAGAGAAACAATGAGAAAACAGTACATCACTAAAATTGGTGTACTGTAGCACAATGAAACAAGAAAATTAAAGCTGACCTGATTGAATGGGAACAAATACAGTGGGAACTGCAAATATCTTGGTTTCAACCATACAAACAAATGATATGAGAACAAAACAGAAACTGCTTAAAAATGAAAAAGTTAAATATTTTGGAGAAGTGAAAAACTGAAACATGGACGTGAGGGTGTTTTATTTATTTGTTTATTTTAAACAGGGACTGGGTGTAACGCTTGTTACATGGAAAAACTTGATGAAGTTGAAACTATTGAATTGGATGATGGAGGCCCAAATCAAGTAAGTAGACATTTCAAAATTTTACAAACTATTTTTATTTGTTTTGAGATACTATTTTCATGTATTTGTATGTGACAAAACAAAAATAAAACAAATTTTAAAGAAAAATTGTACTCATTGACCTTCATTAACTCTTGTCAGTAAAATGTTTTAGCAGTAACAACATATGTGACAAACCACATTCTGGACTACTGTTGATTCACAAAATGAAGGCTCTTGTTCATTACTGGAGAAAATGTTTACTCAGTATGATGACTATGATTGGTGAAAGTGTTTTGTAACTGAAAACTTGCTCTATCCAGTAGTATTACTCTACTCTTTGTATCTGTTTTAGTTTCTGTAGAAATGAATAGAAATTATTTTTAGAACACACCTTGTATTATGAAAAAAGCTTATGAAAAAAAATCAAATTAATATAAATATTCATAAATAAAAATGGAGAATATGTTGACCAAGTCAGGGAAAAGACTTTTATGACATAAGTGTTGTCTTTAGTTTTTCTTCTCTTCTACTTGCTCAACTCAAAAATAATAAAACTGTTTGTTGGGACAATTTTTGATTCTGACAAAATGATTTTATTTTGCTTCTTAAATTATTGATCTAAAAAATCAAATTTAAATTGAAATACTTTCAATTCTGGAAATATTAGAAGTCTTTAAGCATCTATGGTTTTATCACAAATATAAAAATTAACAAAATTATCTTTGCTTATTTGGATTTTTTTATTTTTGCCCATAGGTAATTATCAACACAGAATGGGGAGCATTTGGAGACAATGGATGTCTAGACTTTGTTCGAACAGAATATGATCGGGAGTTAGACACCTACTCTATCAACCCAGGTAAACAACTGTAAGTATTTCTTGATAATATATCATTTTACTAACTTAAAATTAGTCTGGTAATTGACCAGATGCAGAAAAAAGGGGATTGTGTTGCACCAATCTTTCAAGCAAGGAAAACTTACCTGCTTATAAAATCAGCTTTTAGTATCTTGACTTTTACTCATAACTAACAAGCAAGACCATTACTGTAAGGTTTATCATTCAGATTCTTTTCTGTTATAAAATAGCTTAAAAAATTGAAGATACTCATTCAAATAAACATTCTAGTTATGATAATACTTTAGAGTAATATTGGAGGCTTTATCTTGGTGTAATGGTCAACAAGTTGAACTTGTAGGCCATTAGTAATGAGTTTGATACTCACTGGATGCCCTATAACAGCAGTTCCTTAAATTGACAGTAATATTTTAGTTTTTAAACTTGGTCACTGTAAAAACTGATAAAATATTTGATCTCAGTGTTTTATATGTAAAGACATTCAATTATGTAAAGAAATACTTTTGTTCAACTTAAATTACAAATGATCACTTCATGTCTTTATTCGCTAACATAGTTATACCTGTAGAAATGGTTGAGCTCTACAAATATGTATTGAAAAGCAATCTGGTGAACTCTAGCAGAAAAGGTTCTTTCAAGTCCTTTGTATCTTCTGACTTCCAAAAGATGTTTCCTAATGAAACAAAATTTCAAATTATCCAAAATCATTCTATTGTTGATAAATAAATGAACTTTAACTTCTCTTTATCAACTGATTTTTGCTGTTGCTGGTTTGTCTGGCAACCAGAATTGCATTATGGCTAACTGCTAGAAAGTGGTAGCAAGCAGTGCCAATTATTGTTTGTGTAGTGTAATATTTACTAGATGATCAAATATTGTGAACTTATGCCTGACAAAGCAGAAGTGTAGAATGTATCTGCTAAACTTGAACTTCTATATATTTAGAAAGTTTAATACATTTTTATCAACTTTTAGTTCTAAAATTACTTTGAAATTAGTAACTATATAAGGGACTAAAATAGCTTTGAAAAATATGATAATCAATTATCCATTATACTCTCATTCACTTTAATCTTTCCAACCTTTGTAGCCAGTCTTCCATGTTTTTATTTAATGTTATATAAATGTATAAGGAATGCATAAATATTGCTACTGCATTCTCCCATTTATATTTATTTCCCTCTATTTCTCCATAAAGAATTTTAATATACAACAATTTTTATACTTTTCCATCCTTACTTACCTTTCAATCTTTCACTCATTGTCACTTGATATCCAGTAAAGAAGCCTATCTATGTCTTGCTTTCATTTTTATCTCTCCCTTCTCTATGTATATTCAATGAATTCTATTTAAACGAGACATCACTTACAAAAAGAGTCATTGTATAGGACCAGTTTTACAAGGACAGGGTCCACTTTTTAAATCAGAATGTCTTTTTTTATACTAGTCTGTTTAAAAGGAACAACTGCTTATACAGATCAAAATTTGTCACTGATGTGTTCAGCTTAAGAGGAATTCACTATAAATATTCTTTTTTTTTCTTTTCACCTGGTTATCTTTTTGTTTTTCCCTAGCTTTATTACCTTCTACCTACCTTTCACAGTCTTTTTTTCCTCCTTTCTTTTTCTCACCTATCTTTCTTCCTCCTCCACCTTTCTCAATTTCTTCCTTAATATTTTTATGAAGGTTTCAGAAAGAATAACTAATTACAGCTCAGAAAAGCAGATACTACACTCTGATCCTAGGTAGAGAAGTATGATGATTACACTTAAAACAAACAGTATAATATAGATTTGATTAATAATGGAGAAATAATTTAGTTAATATTTTAATTTTTATTCACAACATCCTCAAAACACTTTGATGATCAAATATTTATTATTTGTGAATATTTTTGGAATTGACTTTCACTCTTCAGGTTTTAAAATTGTCCAGTGGACAGGATTTTAATAATTGTACAAATTCATTCTGGGATTTATTTACAAGTCAACACTGTTGATACAGTTTTGAAAAAGCGTGTGTTTTGTTTTAATATTGTGCCACTCAACTGTTTTCTATACATAAAATATTTGTCTGTGTTCCAGAGTTGAAAAAATGATTGGAGGTATGTATTTGGGAGAAATTGTACGTCTAACATTGGAGAGATTGACATCAGAAGGACTCATCTTCCAAGGTGTAGACCCTGAATGTGATTTGTTTAATCGTGGAAAGTTCTATACAAAATATCTTTCTGAAATCGAGAGGTGAGCAATGACAGAATGCATTTCACTTCAAATTTGTTTTTCTTTTTTATTATTCAAACATTTTGTATTTTAGGTTTTGTGTTATTTGAACTAATATCTTCATTCTTGTTTTTATCACACTGTTTAATCATATATACACTTCCTGCACATGTTACTTCATTTTTTTATCTTATAGATGGTTCTAAAATCTGGTTTGCACAGTCATAAAAATGAGGACAGTAGTTCAAATAATGTAAATAGTGTAACTCATAACTTCAGGCTTGGCACCAAGACTTCCCGTCAATTCAAGGAGAGCCCGTCTGGTTGCAGAAAAAGCGGGACATGCCCTTGTCCGAGAGAGAATCCAGTATAATCGTTGGATAAAACAGAGACTAGAAGCTCATATCTCCCAGAGTCAGTGTTTTTGCATAGGTTTTAAGTTGAGAATTATCAGTTGTGTTATTCAACTTAGTACATGCAGCTGGACTTTTTAAACTGATGACTGAAATGTCTATTTTGATTTCTTGGTCTAGAACCATTTATGGAAAAAACATAGTTAAATGAATTAGAAACTGAAATCAAACCAAAAACTACATTGGCCAAAAAGTGTAATAAAGACAATAAAGATGACTATGCTAATCAGAATAATTAAGGGAATAATGATTATGAGACCATTTCATAATTTTTGACAGCACATTTGTACCCCATAAAAAGTGATAAAATTAAAAATTGATGATAAAAAGGGTTGAGGATTTTTCCTAATGATTCACTTTATGCCATACTCATTTGATGACTTCAAATCAGATAGCTACTCTTGGAAATTTTGCACCCCTCATTTTAATAAATATTTTAAAATTTGCTTTCAATCATTTTTACTTTAAAAGTTTTTCCTTTTTCCTTTTTTTTTTTTTTTTTTTTTTTTTTTTTTTTTTTTTTTTTCAACCATTGTCATAAATAAATGTATACATGATAAACATACACAGTTTCTATTTGAATAAGAACAAAGAGAATAAGGTAACAAAAAAAAATTCTTCTCAGTTGTTTAATATGAACAAAACCTTTTTTGTAATTGTAGTGACCGTGGAGAATTCTTTGAGAATACAAAGATGATCCTTGAAGAAATTGGTATTGAGACATATACATTAGAGGACTGCAAAATTGTAAAATATGTGTGTGCACTTGTGTCAGCCCGAGCTTCTTTCCTTGTTTCAGCAGGTGAGTGTTTCACACAGATTTCATAAAATCAGATTAGATCCTCCATATGAAAATGCATCCAAATTAATTAATTACTATACAGCTTCTTGTTAAACAATATTTTTTATAACAATTTGTAAGTATACAGATAAATAAATGATAAAGACATCACCAAAAAAGGACTTCAGGTTTTAAAATTACACCACATAGGGAAAGAGGATGATAGATGAGAAAGGTTTAACTAGCAGTTGGTGTTGGCAGCAAAACAATGAAAAGAAGATGCCTCTTTTAATGATATAAATTTGGAGGTACCTATCTTTAAATGATAGGTACCTCCCAAAATTCGTATACCTAAGGTTTAAATGTATTTTTCATAAAGGAAAAATCCTTTTCAAAACTTTCCAACTGCTTCACTTAAAAGCTAAAGGATTAAATTTTCTAATTCCAGAAAAAAAAATAGTGTGGAGTATTTCAAATAGAAATTTGAATGATTTTTAGTCAATGCTTCCGAAAAACCAATTGAAACTACCATTTTTAACTTTTTTTTAGAGAAATGTAAACAAACTTATCTTTTGGTTTTGAAAATCCTGCTAAAATAAGATATACATTTCTGAAACATTACTTTCATAAAATTGGCAAATTTAAAGTTAAATTAATCTGTTCTGAAACAAAAATCACTTACTTATAGCATAAAATTTTCTAGACAAACATTTCTTGACCTCACGGTCTTGTTATTTTCACATCTCCATCAATAATTTGATGGCTAAATCTGTTGACAGGCTTAGTACAGTGCATCAAAAATGACATAACTGTTTTTTTTTCTTTTGTTTCTTATAATAATTTAAAATACTATAAAAATTTCTTACATTATTGAGTTACCTCTATATCTTTCATTATTTAATAGCTAAGATAATGATAAATAATTTTATTAATTATTAATATTACATTAAGTTATTACATTTTTAATTTAATAACTGAGATTATAACTAATAAAATTATTATTATATTAATAATTAAAATATCTCACTGAGTTATTAATTGTTTAAATTGATAAATGAGATAATTTTATTATCTCAATTTAACTTTTAATTTAATAACAGAGTGAGATAGACCTTTACATGTCAAGGGGCTTTCCCCAAGGAGGAGACAAATTTTGAAACATGTGACCTTTTAACTATAATGTTACTTATTAGATATCATACTAAAAAAATATTACATTTTGACACACACAAAAAAATAATTTTTAATTATGGTAAAAAGTTTTGGTAGTATTATTTGTATAAAGCTTTTAATTTTCACTTAGTAAATATAGTCTTCACTTAAAAACTTAATAACCGACCCCACACTCTGCTTGGAAGAATTTTAAAACATTTTTTAAAATTAAAGAAAAATGAAAAAAATAAAACAAAAATGCAAACAATTTTTGTAAAAATTCTTTATTCATCAAAAAAATTATTTTTCTTCAGATAATAATGTCCTTAATGTATATTATTTATAAAAACAAATAAAAGCCTGTCTAATTTGATAATTAGATAGTTTATTGCAGTTCTTATTTTATGATTTGAAGCAGATTTTTAAAAAGCTGGCAGTAGTTGTGGAAAAAAAATCGATGATTTAATTTCTCCAAAGAGTCCTGCTTATAAGTAATATAAAACAATTTGCGTACTCTTAGAATTTTTAGAAAATTTCAAAAAATTTATTTGTGGTGGGGTAACAGATGTAAAAAAAAAAATATATATATATATATATATTTGCCAAAATTTTCTAAAAATAAAACTTTCAAAAATAAATTTATTCATTTTTGAATAAGTCCTGAAAGTTTCATTAAAATCAGACAATTATTTGGTTTTTGCAAGAATTTCCAAATTAACGGGTTTTTCCCCTGAAACTGCTGCACTAAAATAGCCATTACCACAAGTATTACAAAGTTTAAAAAAAAAAAAAAAAAAAATGAAATTTTTTACCCAAACTTAGAACGTGTTAGAAAGAAGGAAAAAATTTTTAAAAATATTTAAAAAAAATACTTTGGTCTTTTCTCTTAATAATGACATTTAATAATATTTTAATGATGAAACTTTGTTTTTATTAAGTTTCGGACCTTTTATCATTATGCTATACCGATATTATTTTTTTTTTTTTTTTTTTTTTTAGTGAATTATTGGAGGTACCTATATGAAATACTGCATTCTTTATTTCGCAACAGGTTACAAAGACTTCTCATTAGGCCTTCTCTTTTAAAAGCAATGTGACTTCTAATCTTAGTCATTTTTCTACTCCCATGTGATAAGAAGAAACTGCAGCAGAGAAGGAAAACAATTGTGACAAGACAGGGCACTGCATTTCTTATTCCCTTTCTTTATATAAGTAGGTATTCATGCAAAATATGTTAATAAGCAAATATAACAAACTGAGTCAAAATATTCTTTTGTTTTATCTCTTTAAAAATGTTGCTGTCGCTAAAATTTTAAATTAGTGAAGGACAAGCTATTGTCGCAATGTTTCAATGTCTGCCTGACCATGATGTGAAAGTGGATTGCTTGCCCTTTTAATGGCTTCTATCCTCTTTTTATCTCTTTACACTTTTTATCCAATGCCTTAATTTATAATTCTTTTGCAGGAATTGCCACTTTAATTAACTGTTTAAAGAGACCAGAAGTCACTGTAGCTGTTGATGGGTCATTATATCGTTTTCACCCACGCTTCCATAATTTGATGTCCCTCAAGATTTATGAGCTTGTTGAACCAGCATATAAGGTAATATTTTCTACACATTACAAGGTTTTCATAGACATACATACACACTGCACAAAATGTTGTAGATACACTTTGGTGATTAATAACTGTGGTAGTTATTTTTTTTAAATACTTTAATAAGTTTCAAATTTTTTAAAAATTCAACAAAGATGAAATATAAAAAATGTTTATAGGTTTACATGATTTGTTTATGCAGTTCTTCAAAATGTCTAATGAATTTGTATTTTTTTTAACAAATCATGCATGCATGCATGCGCGTCTATATGTATGTATGTATATATATATATATATATATATATATATACACACACACACACACACAATTGTAAGGATGTATATTTTTAGCTATTTGAAGAGACAGATGTTTTCTGCACAGCATTATGAGTATCACTTGTCTGGCATTAGACATTGAACCACAAAGTTCATCTCTTATACAAAAAAAAACTGCCATTACAGTGTTTTGTATTTAGAAATTCTTGTGAATTATAATTCTATGACTTATTCAAACTAGTATATTTGTTGTTTGCTTATAATGTTTTGGCTAGTGTTCTTCAGACATATATTGGGTACATCCAATTTTTTATTTTATTTTTAAGAATCTTAGCATTTTAATTCATTCCCAGATGCAAGCATCAAAATTTACAGCATTCACAAAAAATGCTAGTCTACTTCCCCACACTATCACATTGAAAGTTATAATGACCATGATTCAATACTTTGTCTTTCCTGAAAGCTGGTACACCTATAGGTTTTAAATTTCTGTTTTTTTCTACTTAAGATAACCTCCTACATGTCACTTCCAACACTTCACACATTTTCTATTGAAGTTTCTTCAGTTGTTGGTTTGGTTCATTCTAGAAATCACTTAATTATTTTTAATTTTTATATCTTTCTTTCAGTTCAAGCTGGCTTTGTCCCATGATGGCAGTGGCAAGGGTGCTGCTTTAGTGGCTGCTGTCACAACACATATGAAGTCAAATAGCCTAAATAAGATGCCACCTAACATGCAAGGCAATCCCAAAGAGGTGATGGTAAAATGCTGAAGAGATTTTATTAGTTTTATGACACAGAGGACAGAGAAGATGAAAGTAGAGTTGGTGATTACAGCAACTGAATGACTATGGAAAAAGGATCTATGAAGCCAACCCATTGAAATGCCAGCTCTTCTCTGTAACTCTTCAACCTAGTCTCCTTTGGTTGCAGTTATTGGTGCATTTATAAAGCTCACTAGTGGTGCTGTTTCTTTGGGGATTAAAGAAAAAAAAAATGGAGAAAAATGTACAAAAAATTTAACCCTATTTTGGTTGTTAGACACTGAAACATCATCAAACACGATCTGAACACTAAAATGTCTTCCATAAGATCAAATTAAGTATGGAAAAAGCCCAAAAAACTATTAAACAGTGAAGATACAAAACAAGGATTTATGATTTTAAAGGGAAGTCATTTTAATTTTAAAGTAAACATGATAAAATGAATACCATCAGCAAAGAGCATACTGAAAATATGTTTAAAAAAAGATAAAAACATCAATTTCAATGCGAAGTACAATATCATTGCAACTGCAAGTTGTGCTTATTTATAAGTGTCTGACAGCCATTTTATTTTATTTTTGAATTTGGTTTGGTCTGGGTTTGGAAATACACCATTTTCATTAATTTTTATTTTTAATTCTAAATTTTGGAAGTGAGCAAAACAAAAAAAACAAAAAAGAAAATCGTATTGTAACACTCCTTCACTTTATTTCTTGAAAAGAAAATTGACAACTGGTGAATAAAGGCGGTACTCTTTTTTTTTTTTTTTTTTTTTTTAAATCTATAAACAAATTATAAAAGAATAGCTATATATATAATATATATATATATATATATATATATATATATATATGTGTGTGTGTGTCCATGTGCCAACATATGTTCAGTGTATATTGAGATATACAATTATGAGAACATGTATGTGCATAACAATATATGTATATATTTATATGCATATATAAATTGCATCATGAGAGAATGTGGTGTGTGCAGGCATATTTATTTTATGATACTTGTAAATAGTTGTACATTGGTATAAATGTATATAGGTACAAATGTACACCTACAAATGGATTCATCTATATTTAATGCATAAGTGTTCTTATACACTACAATATACATGTCTACCTTTTGTATTTACCATTTGTTCTGGGATTTGTCGTAACCATTGTCTGACAGAGGAAAAACTGCTGAAATAAACATTGTCCTTTGAAGGACTTTGGTTCTAAAATCTAGACCAAAATTTTACCTAAATTTGTTTTTTTTTTTTTTTTTTTTTTTTTTTGCTTCTTTATTTTTTGCTTTTTTTTTTTTTTTTAAATTTCATAGACACAGTTGTACTTCAAGTAGCACACATTTTTTTTCGTTTTTGATATTTCAAATAGATAAATGGTGTTTAGTAGCTAATTTATGACATCATAAGATATCAAAACAAATTTACATCCCGCCATATTGAATTTTGTTCTTCCAAGGTCTATGAACTAAGTTTCAGTTATATACCTGAATATCTGGGATCAGAATATCTATGAACTCTACTTTAAAGAAAATACTGGACATGGAATGTTTAAATTATTTTAATTATACTTCAAGAAATTAATGAAAATGTTGGAAGTAAATTTTCCCTCTCTTAATCTAAGCGTATTTGTTTCTAACAAAAGTTGCTCTCTTAGCAACAATCTAGTCTTTATGAAGGCAATTCCTTTTTGCATTGCATAGATCACAATTATTCTACAATGCTTTACAATATACAGAATGAAGTTCATTTGAAAAGTAGAGCAGATTTTGTTTGTAGAAATTAAGATTGAGTTCAGTTTAAAATGTCAAATTTATAAAGTAAAAGAGAAAAAACTCTGCAAAATGAAATTCATCTAAAAGACCTGTTTTGATAATAAAAAACATTTTGCTAAGGAATAGTTTTGATATTGCCTTCAGTTTTTTTTTTCATTGATGTATTCTGCTTTTCTTATATAACTACATCCTAGTCAACTGTGTCCACCAAAAGTCAAAATTCTGGCAAATATGAAAAATTGGATTTAATAATTGATGATATTTCAAAGAAATATTTTTTAGCATCAACAAACATTTTTGACTAGATAAATATTAACTATGAGGATGATTAGTATTTCAATATTGAAGAGATTACATTGAAATTATTTATAATTGTTAAGTTTAGATTCCTTTTAACATTTTACAAAATCAAATGGTAACATTATTTTAAAGCTGTATACATTCTTATAACAGTTTAATTTTAAGCTAGTAAAATATCCAGAGGTACAAATTTACTAGTCCTCATTTCAGCTAATTTTATATTGGATTTGTAGCTGAGAAAATGTAGCTTCCAGCTGAAAACATTATTGCAGAAGCTTTTGTTTGACAACTCAATAATTAACTTTAGTTATGCTAAACACTTTGTCCTTTAAATTATTGGAAAAAAAGATAAAAATGTTAAAATACATGCTTTTAGGTGATCAAATATTTGATTAACACAAGAATTTTGTTTATATTTTGATACATCTTCTTTACCACATAAAAAATTCCTTTTACAACTCAAATCAACTGAGTGAATTGATTCTGTATTGAGTCCTGGTTTTCTTTCAGACTGAAAACACCATCAGCAAAGAACAGAATTATAAATGCTACTTATAAATCTAATTCTAGATAAATTCACATCCTTATTGAAAAATTTTAGTTTTACAACTGGTTATAATGCAGCAAGTCAAAGAAATGACTTCATGGGATGACAAGCAGAATGAGCAACAGTTTATTTTATATGAAATAATCTTATCTAGATTGTATTCAAAACAACCACACCTATTTCTAACACACATGAGTGGGTGCTGAAAAGAACCAAGATCAACAAAATCTGACATTTGATCAGAATTTGGGAAGTGAGTTGGGCCAAGATGTTTTTAGCACTTCACGTACGTGTGTGTGTGTATATATATATATATATATATATATATATATAAAGCAGGCTTCTAAATAGTTTAGTAAAATAGTAAATAAATCTGTGTGTTTGGCGCTAGCTGACTCAGTTTTTGTATAACTAAGTGAAATTATGGAATTTCAAATATTAACTAAATTAGGCTTTTTAACAATTTAATTAAATTTTGAAGAGGTGATTGTAAAAGTTAATGCTACTTTTATGGATTGGCAACTTTAGAAAAATTGAGGGCAGAAATTTTTTCTTAAAAAAACTGAAGGAAACAATATTTAAAATTTATGGAGAACTAATAAGTAAGAAATAAAATTATTATATTGTGCTAATTTTTTTGTTGAATTTTTGTTTGTCTAATATTGATTTCAGATTCATTATCACTGTATTTAAGAAAATTAAGTCTGTAGTTTTATACATTTAATAATTATCTGCACTCTTTAGTAGTGGCATTAACAGCATTTGTACGATTACTAATTATTGGCTTATCTGATGAAAATTTTAATTCTAATTTATGTTGGAATTTTTTAGATGAGGAATTATTATTATATGCCTTGCTACTGAAACCATCATGCTCATGTTGACTGTTACGCTCACAGAGAAAAGGACTGGAGTGTACAATACCCAAAACGTTATGGATATAACACTCAACATGATTATGTTGGTCCCAAATAGTAAGGCATATTTTTTTTTTCTTCTTCACTTAAATATGATAAGTATTTTACTTGCAAAATAAATCTGTAAAGAATAGCCTTCTTAATATAACATCTGAGTTTTCTTATTCTTTGACGAATTATGGTAAAGACTGAAAAACAATGCTTATAAAAGTTCTTCAAAGATTATTGTTCTTATTGATGCTACTTTGATGTTGATATCACTTCCAAAGCTGAAGTGGAATATCAAGTGATATAAAAAAAAGTTACCTTAAAAATGGAGCTCAACTGTATACTGTTGTAGCCAGTGGTGCTATCCATCGTCCTCTACAGGTGTGAGACTTGAACACTTCAGCTTGAGGCAGGAGAAAGTATCTTTAAGAACAAATGCTTGAGAAAGCTCCTCTGCATCTACTGGGAGCATGAAATCAAAGATTATGTATGTAGCAAGGTCTCCATAGGCTGACAGGAATCTCTCCTCGCTACTATTAATCATCAGGAGAAGTTGTGGTTTGGCCAGGTCACACACTCTGCAAGACCATCATTTAAGGCAATGTTGGCGGCAGATGCAAGTTGGGATGGCAACAGAAAAGCTATCTAACAACATCAAAGAGTAAACAGACATGAAAGTGCCAAACTCCTGAGAGCCATTGCCATTCTGGAGGAGGTTCTCTGGTTTTTCTATCCTTAGGTCCACCCGATGATTGAAGCAGTCAAGGGACTGATGCTGAGCAAGATTGGAAAAGAGAATAGGAAATTCAAGTCTAGTTTGCTTCCATTTATATACCAATTTAATTTTGAAAGCTTAAATTTATTAATAAATAGGTATTTATAATGAGTTAGCTAGACTGACAACCAATACTTGTTAGGCATAAAATCCCATATTGATTTATCTCCCTTTGGATTTAGTAAGGTTGAATTGCATTCAACAACTTTTATGCAAAAAGGATTTTTCAGTTTGTAAACAAATGACTTGTCTATTCAAATTGGTCATTGTAGAAGTGAGTGTGAATTCTCATAATGCAAAAGTATTGTTTATTTTTTTTTATTTTTAACAAAGTAGATGTCTTAAATTCTGGGATTAATCATTGTCATAATTCTATATATTTTCATTCTATCATATTTTGAGTAATGAATTTTATACAATTTCTATGATGTATTGAACATTCATTTTGTTCTATTTAATATATAATCATAATTTATACACATTGAGAAGTAGATTATTTTTGTCTATACAAAGTTTATCATTTCCCAAGCCTGTGGAAGGTGTCAAGCATATACCCAGTTTTCAAGAATGCGGACATTCAACCATCTCCTTCCTAGTACAGACACATTAGTCTCCTCAGTATCATCAGTAAGTTTTTTAGGCCATAATTAGTAAGGACATTGAGCATCTAGAAAAG